TTACCTTCCATCAAGCTGCTGGTTAGGTGCAAGGCTGGATAATATAGAGCCCTTGTGGTCTCCCTAGTTCCAGCTAGCAAGTGCATGCAGTTCAATGTCACGTTCGGAATCAACTGCAACAGCCCTTGCAAGGGCAGGCTGTGGAATTGTCACTCCTGGGGACATATCTTAGAAGACTGAGATCACCAGCACTCAGTCAAAAGCATTCAATTATTTTGTTTATTTATTGAACAAGCGTCAATTAGCTAACATTTCAGGGTCCCTTCTTCAAGGTGATATATCATCAAATGTCCTGGTGACATGACTGCTCAGCCTTGGGCTTTCCTGCCACAAGTCCTTCTCAAGTAAGCCATGGTGGATGGCGTCCTGCTCAGGACTACAGATAGCAGAGTGGGAGGGTCTCCTGCAGTGTTTTCGCCTTGTCCCTTCCACTTTGAAGAGACACTTTGGGGTTCACCTTGGCTCTGTGGAAAACTATGCTTACTGTTATGTCCTCCCATGGGGATGGAAGAGGGAGCATCATAGGCATAGGACGCACTACTCTTCCTTGCCTCTCTATACTGAGTTGCTCAGGGGACCCTCTGGACTGTGGCCTGGGTGGAACCATGTTCACAATACACCTCTATAGGCACTGCTGGGCCACTTAGAAAGCAGGTGGTTCCCTTCTTCTGTGCATGAGGCTGTTGTGAACAGTTCTCCCCTGCCTGCTAAATGACTGCTGAGTTGCTGTATAGTACCTGGAGGGGCCCATGAGAATACCTGGTCACAACCACCAACCCTCCAAGTCCTCTGCCTCCACAGACACAATGTTGGCTGTCCAAACCTGCCAAGCCCACGGATAAGTCTTCCTCCACAAGTTTGTCCACAGCTGTGCTTTTTTTTTTTCCCCCTCCTTCATGGACTTCTGGTTGAGCCATATCTTAGACAAGTGGGTTGCAAGCTGGTGGTCTACAGATACAAGAAAGTGTTTCTACCCCCTCCATCAGAGTGTTTTTTTTTTTTCTTCCCCTCTAATCTTTGTCTTTTAAACATTTGGCAGTGTACAACCTTCACATGCAGGTGGTGATACTCCAGTTCCTTCCTCAGAAAAGTTTAAAATGTATTGATTCAAATTCCTTCACTGTCCCAAAGATTGAAGGGGTTCGGCCCTTCCTGGTCCTGAACAGACTTAGTGAGAGGATGGCCTTTGTTTGATTGGTGATGGCATCTCCCCATCAGGCAGACCTATATGCTGCAATATATTTCAAGGATGCTTACATGACTACCATTTGCCCCAATTACCAGTGTTTGCCCCGCTTTGCGATGGGAAGGACCATAACCAGTGTGTGGCCCTTGTTTTCAGGTTGGAATCATGGTATTGACCTTATTGAGACTACAAAGGGATCTCGATAGCTAGGTACCTGAACAACTTGCTGCTTCAAGCAGAGTCTGTTTTTCGGCCCTGGAATGCAATCTCTTTCTGTACATTTAGACCCTGGAGCAATTAGGTTGGCCTCTCAACCTCAAGAAATCTGTTCCTTTCCCACCTTTCTGCCTGGCTCAAGTCCTGCCCAGCAGACTGACCAATGTGTTTCTTCCATTCAAGAAGCTTCAGTCCCATGTGCAGCTCCTGTTCCCATCCAGGTGGGTATCAATTTGTTGTAGCATGCAAGTGCTGGATCTCAGGATCTCTTACATTCAAAGCTATCCCCTATACACACTCGAGTCCTTTAAAGTCAAATTATCCCCAAGTCTCCACACCCTGGACAGGGAGATCAAGCAGAGGCATTCCAGGTCAGTGAATGAATAGGTGGTTAAGTCAGGAACAGAAAAGCAGTTGCATAGCCAACACTTCTACACAGAAAGTCAACAATGAGGGCATCCTTTTCTCTTAAAGGGTTTCTTTTACTCTGCCATCTGCCCTGGCTCTTGGGGGTCACTTGCAGCGCAATCGTTTTTGGCCCTTTCACTTTTAGAATGGCTCTGAACACAATGGATGTGGTAGTACACATATAACACTGCAGCGATGAACCCATTTAAAAATAAAGTTTTATTTTCAAGAACACCAAAAAAATAACATTTAATTTAAATTCATTATTAAATAGTAATTCCTCTATTCAAACGAAGAAACAAAAGTGCAAAAAAAACACTTCCTGAAAAATATTTTTTCACAGCAGCTAACGGATTCTTTTTAAGTCTACATGACTGTCCATTTACTGCAGAGTCAGTTCATTGTATACGGGTTATTAAGAAATCTCCACTAATATTCTTGTACAAAAAGCCTAGAAAGGCTCAGGCAGACGTTCCAGATAGGAATGATGACTGTGGATTTTGTCCAGGAGCTTTGCGGCCACAGGTTTAAATTCTACTTCCCAGCATGTTTTATGATATTCCAGTAAATCTGCATCCCTGCAGCAATCCTGAGCAATTTGTTCATCTTTAAAAAAAAAAAAGAAAATACATAATTCTAAACAGCATTTCAACCAGAAAGCTAAATAATTATATGACAGAACTACTTTGAAAACTTTTTTGGAAGTATTTAACCACTTGACTCCCGGATGCCTTTTTAAATGGCAGAGAGCAGTGGCTATTTGTCCCAGCGCCTTTGTAAAGCACTAACCAGACACAGCAGCCAATGCTGGCCACCATGCTTAAACTGATGGCTGCAAGTGACAGCCGGGACCCAGTGCTAAGCGGAGACCCAGTGCTAAGCCAGGACCCAGTGCTAAATCAATCAGCTCTTTGGTTTCCAATCCTTCTACAGATATCTCCATAGAAGCCTGCTGTAGAAGAGAATGGGAACACAATGCTTTTGCCCTCATCAACCCAACTTAATTTTATCTTTATGTTATGTTAACAATTTACGCAAACAATTTTTCCACCTGCGTGTGTCGCAATATAGCATCTAAAGGAGAATAAAGCTCCCTTAAAATTAAATGCATTTGTTCATTTTAAGCTTCACCATTCCACTACATTAAATAAAAGTTGCACTAGTGATATAATTTTTTTGCTTCATTGAATATTTTTTGGGTAAATATAAAGGAGTGAGCAAATTACATATAAGGTTTTGTTACAAAATAAGATTAAAAAAAAAAAAGTTTACTATTTATTTCCAATAAAACCAATAAAATAAAAATATATGTATTCAAATCTGCTGCCAAATTAAAGCCCTATTTGTTTGGAAAAAATTATGTATAACACGTTAGGGTAGATTACAAACCCTTAAATGTAGAACGTGTAGAGCCCAGACACTGCTGGAAATTTTTTGTTATTGGAGATCAGGTTTCTATTACAGAAAATGTCACTCAGTTTCTGCAACCTTGACTTCCTGGTTAGACGGTACAGTATATAAATGCTCCACAAGACATATACTGTCCTATAGCGTTACTCACCGAGAAATGAAGCCAAGAGATCCAAAAGTGTGTTTGTTTCTTCAGAACCAATAAACATTCCTGCCTCATTTATGTCCTCAATGACGTTCCATAAAGCTTTGCATACCACTGTGGCCAGCTGCCAGTCCGAAGGCCCAAAGTCTCGTAAACATTCTACCAACCTGTATGAGGAATAATAAAGTGGACCTATCATTAAAATTCATACTTAATATGCATGAATCGATAGGGCACGTTAGTATTAACTAATCACATTATTGTGAACGAAATTAAAAAAAAACAAAAAACCTTGTTGGAAATACAACAGCATACTGATTGTATTACTGACATTCAGAGGTGTAATATTGTCTTTTGATCTGTAGATGGTGCTGTAGTGTATATGATATATACAGGAAGTTCTTTCTATATACTCTATAATGCTGTATTCAGATGTCATTTCCTTATAAGTAAAGCCTAATTCACCATTCCTCAAGATGTCAGTGCTTCATATAGACACATAACCAACACCTAGTTCCTGCTATAAATTAAAACAAGGTTGCTTCCTCATGTGACCTACAGCCTATGGTCCCTACAGATTTATTCCCCTGCAATAGAAGACAGCATATACTCACCTCTCTGGTGGCTCATTTCTCCTACCAAGATTGCAACCTCCGTAATTTAACACTTCTGAAAGCGTAGGATGCCCCGCTGCGTGTTGGTCCCTCCCGCCAACCCTCAACACCACTAAAGGACTCAGTGACATAGGCGTCAGAGGAAGACGCTGTATTCTCACCTGCCAGTGGGCTGTATTCTCACCTGCCAGTGGCCCGCGCCTCCTTTTCCCCCCTTTGTTTCAACACTGCAGTCTCTGCAAGTCAATTTCAGCATTTAACACTACCAGAAGTGTCAGGTGCCTGTGCCTTCCCGTTGTGCATCCTAGATCCTTCCTCCAGCAGCTATGTCCCTACAGGATTTAGCAGTGATATATGAGTAGGAGGGAGGACTCACTGTGTATAACAAGGGATACAGGTTTCCGATACGCCTGGAAGTTTAGAATGTCAAAGAGTGGCAGAGACAGCAGTGCTGGAATGGAGAGGAGGTAAGTGTACAGTCCCTTCTTTTGAAGGGAACTATTTCTACCAGATGGTTAATGGGATGATATTGAGTCACTTTAAGTTAATGGGATGGTATTGAGTCACTTTAAGTTAATAAGTCACTTTAATTGATGATTAAGTAAAATGACACCAATGCAATGCAACCACAGAATAAAATGTTGTAGATTACTGAACAGTTCACCTAGAGAGGAAAATCCTACAAACACATTGGCTTATTTTATCCACTCCGCTGCTAATCATTAACTGCATTTATTCTCAAGACAACTTTGTGTTTTCCAGCCAGCAGTTTGGGGCGGGAGGGGGGGGGGTTCTTTATGACGGATTATGGCATATTGTGAAAATGTGGTTTGGAGCAAATAAACCGACGTGTTCTCTCTGAAAACAATGTAAGCTCACCTATAAATTTAGGCAGAGAAAGAACATATGGAACATGTACACAAATAGGTTTCTTAACATAGCTACTGAGGTAAGTAAAAGAGGAAATATTCATATTTAAAGGAGGAAATAGCAACAGGGAAATTGATGCTTTAAAGAACATAGAGATCTTTCATACAAGCCCACATGCATTATGCTCCATATAACATGTGTGCACTAGTGTGCAGAGGATAGGGTGGTGTGAATTGTGCATGAAGCTCCAGGTTTTATTAATGTACAGATGGTATGATTCATTCAAATGAAGTGGTGCCATTTTCTGTTGGACTAATTTAAAGTGTGCATGAGTTAAAAAAGAACTCCAGGGAAAATTATGAATAGCACCTTGCAGTGGGGCTACCCACGCACTGCAAGGGTTAAGTGCTGGTTTGTGTCCAGGGAGAAAAATTTAAAAAAAGTTATACTAGCCTGATCCTAGCAGCCAGCTGACGCCTCTCTCCTCCTCCGCTCCGGAGGTCTAAGGTCCATGAGTCATCATGTCTGATACACTGTGTATTGGACTTGTGGATGCCGAGGGGCAGCGGAGCAGGAGACAGGCTGGAGGGAGCGCTCTGTGAGGGTCATGCGAGTATAGCTTTGTTATTTTCAGCCCCAGACAAAAATGAGCAGTCAACCCTTGCAGTGCAGGGGTAGACCCAATGCAAGGGTTAATAATTTTCCCCCGGAGTTCCGCTTAAGATTATAAACATTATAGTATCTAAAAATTACCAAGCAGTAAAAGAGCAACAAACTGACCTCTGTAGCTGCATGTACTGTGGAGAAATTCACCTTCAAAATTCTCAACAGAAGCAATGAAATAACAGCTCCTCTACCCTTATTTTCTATGGCAGATGCCCTTCAATGTAAAACAAACAGCAGGTATAAGCTGCATGAAACCACCTGAAACCTGACTTCAGACTCTGTAATGATACTCTGCAGTACCGGCAGCTACAGAGCTCAATTAGGGCTTGTTTTAAACTTGTTTCACTGCTTGATAAGAATGTGTAGATATTATAATGTCCATAGTCTAAACTCCTGCACACTTTAAAAATGATCCAACAGAACATGGTGCCACTTAGTTTGATCATACCATCTGTGCATCAATAAAACATGGAGGTTCATGCACAACACTTCCAACAGTCTAGAGAAGAGAATTGCTGCAAGATGTTTCTTACCGTGTAATTGTCCCTTCTTCTTTCAGTAAGATTCTGCTAATGCGGTCACTAGCCAAATTAGTCACTACCCCACAGGCAAAGTAGCAGACATTTTGGTGTCTGGAATCCAGTAATGTAACCAGGAATTTATACACTAGGATGGGAAATAAAAGTGAAAACATTTCATTGTTTTAAGACTTTCAGGAAATCACATTAAAAATGATAAATGTTTTAGTGGTCTCCCCCCACCATCAGATGACAGCAGTGGCTCGTTGGGAGAAGAGGAACTAAAACAGTTAGAAGCATAAACCATGAATTCATATATGAATTCATATAAAAGATAAGTAGAATAATACCACAAAGAGTTGCAATACTTTTTTAGAGCTGTAGTCAAATTCAGAGCCAAAGAAAAAAGCCAAATAGAGACTAAATAAGAACTAGCACCAATGGGCAAAGGTTCTACCATCAGCAAGGTACTGCTAGGTTAAAGTAGTGATATATCATTGGAAGTGGAGGGGTCTTGGGTCCATCTGCCATCAGGGATTCTATAGGCGTGGATCAGAGATGAGATAACGTAAACCCGGTGAATGTGGCATATGAACATTTCTAATTTTCCTAAATATGTGCAGAGATCATACAACAAAATGTATAATATTGACACCAGGCAACACATGACATTCGATGTACCACTGTTCTCCACAATGAACTCCCGGACATCTTGGTAGTGAGAGAGATTGCCGAACACTCGGGCTGCTTCAAGAATTCCCTCCATATTATTAGAAAGCAGTAGTCTGAACATCACTGTTGATAAAAGAAAAATGTTTGGTCATGTTTTCCTGAATTTTCCAGATTATAGTTTGGTTCTATGCCATTTATGTCAGGGAAAGTCAATTTTCAGCTTTTTCTTGACACATTTTACAAAACAGGTATATATACACACAAGTATATTTGTCATTGTACATGGTTAAGGCAGTGTTTCTTAACCTTTTTTCAGTCATGGAATCCTTTAAAAGTATGCAAAATCTTGAGACAATGCAGTCTTATCCCAAAAAGGGTTTGGTATGGATTTTTAGGGGGAACACACAAAAAATTGGGTTTCCCCCTTCACATCAGAGTCCCACCTTCAAATCAAGAGCCCCTCTTTACATCAGAAACCCCCCATCCCCTTTGATTAGAATCCCGCCTATAACATGAGAATCCATCTTTAGATCAATCAAGAGCCCCCTTCACATCAGAGTCCTGCCCTTTCACATCAGAAGCATGCCTGCCCCATGAAAATGTGTGAACATTTTGAGGCAACCCTAAGGAGTGCAGAAGGAATCCCAGGGTGCCACGTCCAAGGAATCCCAGGGTGCCTGGTTGAGAAGGGCTGGTTTAAGGCACCTAATATAGGCTTCACCTGCTCCTATCAGGGGCATCTCTAGAGAAGGGTAGAGGGCCTGCCAATGCAAAAGCCCCTGCAAGATAGGGCCAAGCACTAGCACAACACCCCCCATACAGTGACCCTGCTCACACACCATCCTGTCTCCCTCACTCTTCCCCACACTTAACATTATGTCAACCTCTCACCCCTTATGTGTGTGGCAGCTGGACAGATCACTGAAATATGGAATTGTCATGGAAGGATGAGATGTCACCAGCTTTAGTTTACATCTCAGGTAGCATAGCCAGCTCGTAGAGCCTCTGACATAATTCTGTAGTTTGACACTTAATTTAAGTCTGTGTGTCAGAGTGCGCCCTTTGTAATAAAGGTCAGTCACCAAGAACCCATACTTTCCCGCATGAGGGCCATAGTGCCCAAATTACAAGAGCCTAAAGGAGGAACTGTCTGTATTGTCCAGACAATATAAAACTGATAATCAGATATGTCCTTTAATGTTTCTAGTGCATGAAAGGGAGATCCATATTGTCTGTCATAGGTAGCACAGCCAGTTCATTTCATGGAGGCCCACAGAGTAGGTTTTAGCACAGATCTACAATTTCTATAGACTCTAGAAAGGAATATTTAAATAACACCGTACATGACATTCCTGTACAAAAGAAGACTCACATTTGGAAATCTCAAGCCTCCTCTTGGTTATAGCAGAGCTGTAATTTTCATAGAAAGATAAATTACTGAGTGTTGCTACGGTATTGATCACCAGTTCCTCGCATTCATCAATCGACTTGTACTCTAATTGCAAAAGAGAACCAAGAGCAGTCGGAGTTGTGAGATCATTATTAAACACAGAATAAAATTCAAGGTTAAGAAATAAAACAAAACAAATATGCAGAATTCTACACCAGCTGAAAAAGTTGACTTGAAGACATTTATAGAAATAAGCTTGTGATCAGCACTAGTAGCTTTATCATGTTTTTCAAATCAGCAAAAAGCATGTGCGTTGTCAACTTTCTGGACAGCACAAAGCTTCCTGTTTTTCTTTCTCTTAAGTAACAAATATTCAATACCCGTGTTAATTCATTTTACAGCTCAGATGTCCAAAGAAAATGTAAAGTAGTGTACTATGGTGTTAAAGACATAATTAAAGCCTAACTCCAGCCAGCATTTTATTTGAACTTGGATAAAAGTAGGGAAGAGTTAACATTTCTGATTAGATTTTTTATTTTTTTGCCTGTGACCCCATTGGGGAGATATTTCCACAATTTCCTGTACCTGTGATGTCTACACAATTATGGGATGGTGTAGCCTTTACTTGGACAGGAGGACCAGGACAGCAATAGAATGTTATCTGAATTCCAAAAATTGGATTTTGTCCCCACTGAAGAGACTTATGCAGATGTCCCACCACACACCTGACCAATATGTCCCATATTGTTCCTCTTGGGTGCTGTGGTAACTTGCAATGGCCCTGCATGGTTCCAAAAAGAAGGTACCCGACCAGCACACCATTGTATCCACATAAAAAACACCTTTATTGACGTCATCAATCATCATATCACAAGATTGCAGCACTGCTACAGAGTTTTTAGCCCTTTCCCTGCTCTATCCAAAATGAAATAAAATGTTCTAGCTGGAGTTATGATTTAAGTAACATTTAGTAATCCTGTACTTCTTAATTGGGGTGGGGGAAAGTTATGTAATAAGTTTTGAAATACTCTTTATTTTTTTGGATTACAAGGACTCACCTTAAAGCCCATTTCCACCTTTGCAGAGGTTTTTTTTTTTTTAAACATACGCCAGCAATGTACACCAAGTGAATATGAAGCAGGCATATGCAGCTGATGTATATGAACACATAAACTTACATTTTTTATTAGCTTTCCACTTCAATACTGCTCATGTTACAATGGGAGACAGGGAGACTGAATTTCCTGTGGAGAAAAGTTGGAATTTTTAGGCTTTAGGCCTAATAAAACCTTGATATAAAATGAGGAAAGCCTGCAATGCGAGTCCTAAAATGTGCACACATATACATCATCACTGCACCTCTTAATAAATGCTAATCACTTACAAAGGTGGAGATGGACTTTAAGCCTCTGCAAGTACTGAGATAGCCAATGGAAGTTCCTGATACTTTGAGATGGCATGGCTGTATCATTTTTTACCCACATGAATGTAAGAGCAGGAACCTATTTATGCATAAGTGACAAGTTCATGTCACATTGGATGTACAATAGCAGTACTGACAGATACTGTTCAGAACATTCTGCTTTGAGGATATAAAGCTCTCAGATGAAAGAGACATCATGGATGTCTCTTGTACTCTGTACTGCAGTATTGTAAACAAAAACGTCAGGAAAGTGGCCATGTATTTCTAGAGTGTTGTTTACAAATGGCATCTTAGAACACACACTCGGGCAGCCAGTGTGCCCATGAATTACTGTGACCTGAGCTGCCACTGGACAGCTCAGATCACAGTCATGGTGTACAGGGACAAGTTACAGTGTCCCTGTAACTTGTGATCCCTGTGAACCAATCACAGCTGTCAAAAGTGTAAACAATAGTTGCATTTCCAAACACTCAGCCCATATACAACAGAGGAACCTCCCCTTCCTCCATTGTGAATGTGCTGTATGTCTGTAGACACAGCAGGAAGGAGGGTTGATGGAAAAATGATGGGATTTTTTTTAAGTGGGGGAGGGTTTAACATGCCATTGACTACCAATAATTGTGAGATTCCTTTTAAAAGGTGGGGTGGAGTTAAAGTGCCACTGATCTCCAATAATTGTGGGATTATTTGTTTTAAAGGTATGGGGGGGCGGGGTTAAAGCGCCACTGATAACCAATTATTATGGGATCCTTTTTTAAAGGTAATGAAATAAAAGGTATAAATAGGCAAACCCAGTTTTTTTTATCGCTTTTCGTCTATATAGTAAAAAAAAAACAGTGGTTAGTAAATAGCACCAAAAGAAAGCTCTATCTGTCTCAAGAACATGATATAAAATTAATTTAAGGTACCAAGTGTTGCACGGCCGAGTAATTGTCAGTCAAACTATCGCATCCCTGAAAACACTGCACCATTGGGTACGGCTAGTACACAAGTGGTTAAACTGCATATGGCTTTTAATGGGTACATTGTGAAAGGGCCACTAGTTTAATCAGCTGCTATTATCAGGAACGGAATTTCCTCTAGTCAAAAACAAACTATTCAGGGCATTGTAATAGCCTCCTTGCCACCCATTTACTGTACTTAATGAGATAAAAGTATTTGTATTAGCAGCAGTGCTTGACGCTCTGGCTCTTTGCTTCCACCTTTAATTAAGGCACTGTGAACTGCAAGCCTTGCGCTTATTGAAAGGGTCACGATTCTTCAGTTACCATTTCTAGCTAGAAATTAGAGATTATTCTTATTGTGATTTAAAATTACTCTCTGAGTACGATGCTATATTCCAGCCATCCAATTGTGAACTTGCACTGGAGCAATTTGTTGTACAGGAGGTTAGCACCACTAAATCCAACACTGTTAGAATTCTCTCTAGACATCGGAAGGATCCTGCTTTCTATGAAGGAATAGAGATACAAAGGCAACACCTTTACAAATGATGGAACTATGAAAGTGGAGAGCTACATTATATGAAAGTCAGTAAAAATAATGTTAAAGCATCCTGAGATTTGTCTCTGCAAAACACGACTCACCTAGAATCCGAATTAAATGTGAAATACAGTTTTGATCAGCAGCCAAATCTTTGCCAACATTTGGATGGACTGACAGGTTGGCCAACAGGCTTACTGATTTGATCAAAACGTCTTCAACTTCAGAAGGTTTTTTCAGGTCTTGGGATTTTTCCTTCTCAGTAGATTTGGATTTTTGGATCTTTATATCAAGTTCACAGTAAATATGTAATAAATTGATTATTGTTTTAATGCTTCCTTTTACTTTATAGAAGTCATCACGTGCTGCATTTGTCTTGGCAGTTAAATTGCTGAGTGTGAATATTATTCGAACAACAAGGTCCTAAAAAAAAACCCAGAAAATGTATTATAAAAAAATGAACATTGCTATCTAATGACAAACGGATTATACAACTCGAAATTGAGTCTCAGGGCTAGTTCAGTACAATTGTAAGCAGAAAAGCGCCAAATGGGACCGCTCAACCAGTAATAAAAAGATTGTTCAAATAAGTGCAAGGACTGTTTTTGAAAAAGAGTGATGTGATGGAAAATCTGCAGGATGCTGCCCCAAACCAGCCAGGGGGACTGCAAAATCTGGGGGAAAAACACAAACAAGGGGCCTTTCCTGGTGCAGACAAATTTTTTTGAGATAAAAGCAGTAAAAAGAGGAAAATCATACTCACAAAGGTCGACATGAATAAAGCATTGTGAATGAATACATGGACCAAAGTATAAGCCAGTGACAGCTGCAAAGCCGAGCCTGTGTGCCAGCAGGGAGGGCTGTGATGACGCGTTCCTGGGGTCATGCCCCCTTCATCAGATACAGGCCTCCTCCATCCCATAGGCATTATATAGCAGCTAGTGGCCAATAGATTGGTGCGCCAGGACCTCATCGACTCCAGCTACAACAGCTGAGGATGTGTGCGGTGGGACGGCCATGACGTCAGAGGGGGTTCCCCCGTCCAGTGGCTGACGAGGCAACCCTCTAGACGGCTCATCCAATCACTGGATGGCCTCAAGTAGGCTCGCCTGATGGGAGTGGCCTGGGGCTCCGTCCAATCAGTGGGACGTAAAACCGGACTGTGTCTTACCAGAGACATCATGACTGCTGGAGAGGCCAAAAGATATGTTAACGATAATGCATCACACCAGATGCAGTTGCGATGCAGTCCGTTCAGTTTGGCTGCTGCATCCAAAATACATCACAATGCTTTCCTATGGGATTTCTGGTGCTCTATTCACACAAGTGCAGTCCGTTCCGATGCAGTCACAAAAAATACTGCTTGCCCTATGTTAGCTGCATCGAACTACATCAGAAACGCATGAAAATGCACTGGAACACACCTGAAACCACTAATTTTTTAATTATACTAAAATCGGACTTTAATGTTTTATACATTAAATGTTTTTACAGGCAAGAAAGTTAAAAAAAAAATGCTTTGGGTGCTACATATACTGTATATACAATGTTTTATTGTAAAAACTCTGTCATATCACCAATGCACCAAGAATTGGCTACAAGGTCTCTAATGATTGGGCCTGGAGAGCTGGTATTCGCCTAAAGAAGGCCAATGAACAACTTCTCTTTACCTGCGCTTTGGCAGACACATGGTGACCAATACTAAAGTACTAGTCACATACCTGGAGTGCATAGGGGGTAACATATTTGGGTTTTTACAGCAAAAGGCCAACTTGTCATATAGTCCAATAACTAAATGTAAGTCATGTTTTGTGCTTTTAGTTTGTTCATGCATCGAGTTATATATTAGGCCATCTTTAATTTATAAACTAAAATCAATAGTCTATTACTGCCAATTTGTTCGGGCTACCAACTGTTCTCTCCCTTTTAGCAATCAGAACAAGCTCTGATGAGCACTGATTTTCCACAAAGTGCAAAGAAAACGCCAGCAGAAGGTATGCAGTACATAATATTTTCCTTGTACACTCTTCCAATAACAAACTGCAGATATTCTTGGATGCGGAAGATATAAATGATTAACATCTGCCCTGACCACAAGTGTCAGTGCGCCCAGGAAAATCTTGCGGTAAGATGGGATGAACCAAAACAAGTCACCCATGCTTATTTAACCTATAACAGTCCAGAATTTTCGGAAACATTTATAGAGTTTCATATTCAACACATTATCTGACATATTTCATAGTGTAAACATTTGTACTATTTGTGTATATTTCAACTTTTTCAACTGTTCTTTTTAACTTGTGCTCAAACACAATCTCAGAGTGTTTGCATTAAAAAAGATTTTCTTGGAAGCACCTGAAGGGCCAATAGGGTCCACAAAATCCTCTTCTAGGTCATGGAAATTTTGCCTAAGTAAAAATGTTGCCCCTTTAAAGTAACATGGATGTATGCTAAAATTGGGCTCATATAGTGACAGATGGTTTCGGGTTTGTGGTCACCGTAGTGATGTTATACATACTTGGTGGTCATGTCCGAGACTGGTTTTCTTTTTGATCCAGGATCTTGAACCTGGTTCAAATCCTATTTCAGGTCACATCTCTGCGTGATCCCTGGGCAGCACTTTTGCATCACCCTCTTCCTAGTCTTACAGCTTCCCAACAAACACTGGCTATCTTTTTGTTTATATCTGCCAAGCAGGTTATGTCCAAAGTAGACCAGAGTCAATATACAAGGGGTCAACTCTATTAGTAAATGAGAAATTGACAAGCATTCTCTAAGACTCACATACTAAATGCCTTACAATCTAGCAACCCTGGGTAATCTATGCTCTATTCTCTTTAAGCCCAACTAGCCTTAGCTATTTTTGACCCTAACTTCCCACCCCGAACCGCAGACCCATGGATCTACATCACAACCTACTCTATTCTCCACTTCTGCTATCTCAGACCTTCACTCTACCCTACCTATCCATACCTATTTAAGTTGGTGCCTTTGATTTCCATGTTCTTGATGTTGGAGGATCTATTGGATGGCCACTTTTGTGACGTCACTCTAGGGTACGCTGCAGGATGTCACATGTTTGCAACTAAGCTAAGTGCCCACTGGCACCTCTTTACCATCATCCCATTTACGTCATTTTTGTATGCTGCTCTATAGCCCTTGTGTTGTGTGGGCAATATGGTTATTGTCCTTGAAAATCAATAAAAATACTTTTCACTATCCATTTTACCTCCATTTTTCTGTTGTTACGTTTAGAAAAGCAAACCTGTCCATAGATGGCAGATGCCATCCCAAGAACTTTGAACAGGGAGATATCTATGGTGTCCGAAGCTGCCACTGTTTTCTCAATGCATAACATGCGTGCCCTACCAAACCAGTACACATGTGATTTACACCTTCTCATTGAGGAGAGGCAAAACTCAGATGAGATCTTCCAGCTTGCCGTTTATAAAGAATTGTGATCATTCATTATCAAACCTTCAATATGTGTCATCATCACACATATTCACAGTTTACTGATGTTGGGTGAAGTACCAGTGGACATTAATTTGGCCAAAAGCTTACACTGGCAGTAGGAGCAAAAATTGTGATTTGAGCTATAATTTCCAATCCCCAATTTTGTGAATGTAGGGGTATGGCCCCAGGGCATCTTTGCTGCACATGACTATTCCTCACACAATATTGTGTGAAAAAATATGCATAATTAAAAGCAGAACTACAGGCAGCATAAAATCAAAAATATCCTTTGTGCACTCATCTGCGATTCTTTTTGCAGCAATATCAACAATGAATGTTGCAAATCCTTTCACAACTGCTAAAGGGTCACTTCTTCTAACCAAATGGAATAGAAGGAGAACATTTAAAGTCTCAAACTGTGAGAGGGGCAGTGTGTTAAAGCTGAACTCTTGGAAAACATAAAAAAGATAAAATGAATGCCGCCTGATGATCATTAATACACCATTAAATGCATTTATTCAATGCAAGCAGTGTAAATACCTGAATTTGACCTGGTATCACACTCTCGCAGTCTCTGTAAGAGTGTGAGAGGAAGAAGCAGTACATAAAGCCATTTGCTCATGTGCTGGCCAGAAGCATGCTGATAGGAAGAGAAAGCAGAGTGGCAGAGAGATGAGCTCACCATTGTGCTGCTTCTCCTTTCATTGTACAGCAACAGTCTACAATGGGTTTGGACAACCTGGGCTCAGAGAAATTGGGTTGAATGATGCTAGCCATCAGACTGAGGACATCTAGTGTGAAAAAAAAGTATTATTGATTGCCCGGGTTCAATGAGCTGGCAGCAGCTCCAACTGTGCTCAACGCAACTGGATGCAGTCTGAGCTCTTAAATGGCCATCTGTAACTGCCCTAAGAGATTTATAAAAGGTCTGCATGTATGTTATATGTGTGCATTTCATTTTTAAATTCACTTTAAGTATTGACCTGTCCTATAATTGACAGTATACATGTGCACTCATCAGAGCCTTATGTGAGGACTAGAGATGAGCATGGGCTTGGTGCCAACCTAGCTGGCTTGAGTTCACCCAAGCCCGCTCAAAACTGTGACTGGCACTTTCCCCTGCCGGTCCAATCCATGGCGGCAGTTGCCGTGTGGGCATTCCCTTCCCCACTGTTATGTACATCTGTGGGGCAGGGAATGCGCCTCTCTGCAACTAATTGGGTCAGGAAAAGGGGGTGGCAGTCGCAGTTTGCGTGGGTTGGGGGGAACTCTGGCGAACTGGGTTCACACCAAGGCTCATCACTAATGAGAAGCTTTAAAATAGCATGGAGGGAAAGGCGAGTACAATCAGGGCTATTCCTGTCTTATAAATGGAGTAATGCACTACTGCATGAAACAATGTATTCACAAACTAGGGACAGCCATTTTTAAATGCTTTGTAGTAGTGACTGGCAGCTGATCAAGTCCATACATGAATTGCCCACAGCAATATTTAAAGCAAAACTGTAGTTTGCCCACACAGGGTAAAGCAGCAGTATACCCTCAGCTTTCCTAAACGTAGAGCGTTGGCCCTCAAGGGATAAGAATGAAGAGGATGTATTCCTGGTTGAGCCACTACAATAAAGAATAGGCATGCATTAAATTGCATTCAATTAAAACTCCTGGAAAAAAACAAATTACTATTTCCATAGACATCAGATTTGTCAGTATCTCTTCCTTGTTGCCATCAGCCTACACAGTGTGTGATCAATGAAACTTACTTCCAACTTCATCCTACAACACCCACACAATGTTAAATGTAGCTGCATGTGTTTCTCTGCACCTGTGACACACACGAATGCCATAGATTTCTCAATGTATCTAAAAGAATAATATGCACATAATTATTTTAACTGTCAAAGTTAATTTTCTGGTGACATATTATGTGGGAAATTAAATGCTGCCAAGAGGGGGTAGACTAATGCCACACCATTCAAGGAGAAACTGACCATTAAAACTGTTAACTTTTAGCAGTAATACAATACACTGCCAACTTTTCTGGGATTTCTAGGAAATGTTTTTGTCTGTCTCCAGTACTAGAAAACATTTAGGCTGTGGCTTTTCTTCCCATCTCGCCTGTGTTAAATGCTGGCAGATGTATTGCTTCCCATAATTCTGCTGATGTTGTTTTTGTTGGGACACCCAGAGGCTGGGTGTGGAATTCAGCATGGATTTAAATCTAGTCAAATGGAGTTTGCAGCTACGCTCTAACTGTAAACATGTTTTGTACGAGAGTCTCTTTTGAAAAACACAAGTCTTCCATATAATTCATGATTTTCCATATAAAAGGTAATTATTTTCACCAAGTGGCAATATGTAGGGAAAACAAAAAGGAATGTGTGTTGCTTCATATATGCTTGTTTATGTGAACGCATATTAAAATGCCTAATACATGTCTAACTCAATCATTGTGTGCTTCTGATTTTTAAATTGTACCAAGTGAATCATGGATGAGAGATGGAAACAAAGGGTTCTGGCAAAAGAAGGCTGTTGAGATCCTGAAGAATGTGTATGGTCAGGCAGTAATTGAGGTGAGCAATGTTAGGTGTTAAGGTGGCCATACACTTTACGACCCTCGCAAGACTTTTGTCTTGCGAGGATTGTAAAGTAATTAAAAAAACATACGATCTGCCCATCTTGGACTGGCAGATCATACTTGCCATCATCGCAAGCCGCGCCCCCCTGAGGGGCGGGCTTCCGATGACTGCAATGCTGAATGGGCACTGTGCGCGTGCGCACACCGGCCCGTTCGGCTGTTATCTCTCGATCATGTTAAAAAACCAGCCGAAAATCGTACGATACTGATGTAATCATCTCTTATGCAGGTCCACTGACCTGCATTAGAAGCTAGGATGCTGAGGGACATTGCAATGCACTGACTGTGACAGAAGCAGGGATCGCGCAAGTAAATCTGCCTTATATAACCCTCCCTAGACAAAATGAGCACTGAACCCTTGCAGTGCAGCGGTAGCCCTGCAAGGGTAAGTTTTTTATTTGCCCAGAGTTCTTCTTTAAACATTCTATATCTCAACAGGTATCACCGTATACCCCCTTGTATTTACAGAACATTATGCTAAGACGTTGAGCAAGCCACACAGGGTACAGACTTAGGCCCCATTCACACTGAGCGATTTTTGCAGCGATATTGCTCATATTTCCACGCAATATCGCTCTATGTAGCTTCTCCAATCCATTTCAATGGAGCTGTTCACATCTCGACGCTCAATATCGCTTGTAGCTCGTCGCTGGTAGCTTTGTCGCTCCTACATGACCCTTTTTTCGAGCGAATTTGAGCGATATTGCTCCTGATTGCATACAGCCCAATAGGAAAAAGTAACGCGACACTTCGCGCAATATCGCTCAAAATCGCGCGATTTTCATGTCGCTCAGTGTGAATGGGGCCTAAGACAGCAGGACAACACGCAACGTACACTTCAGAACCCTCCCAATAACTACTACTATTTGGATATAATATGCTCTTTTCCCCCGCAATGCAATAGAATGGATTAGCCTCACAGCAGTCGCGATGTAGTGCCTTTCATTTGATTGTCCAGCAGAAGCCAACAATACACAGATCCGGGAATGCACACAGCGGACAAACACTTGGAGTACAATACAGGGTGCAGCTCGAATATTACAGCATAAAGCAAACAATGAACCAAAAATGAAAACTCTATGATAAAAAAAACAGACTAACAGAGGTTACTTTTAGAAAAGCTGATTAGGGAAAGTGGAGATCTGAATAGAACGTCAGCTACCTATATCTCTGATTGTTTTACCATGCGCTGTTAAGCTCTGCGTACGCATTTTTTCATTCTATGCTTGGGGGTCTATTTATCAATATTTTTACCCATGATTCACTTAACTTGAAACCAAGTTTCAAAACATAATACATGATAGCTAGACCCCTTAGTATGACCTGCCTAGAATTGCAACAGGTTCACTTTAAGACATTGGAACTCTTAAACCTAGCTGTGAAAGGGTTTGTTTAAAGCCCAGTTTAAAGCCCTCACACCTTATTTTTCCTTAAGTCTGGCCATACACCTTACAACCATCGCACGACTTTCGTTGTGCGATGGTTGTAAGGTCATTCAAATTTTGTACGACCTGCCCATCTTGGACAGGCAGATCGTACTTCTGCTGAGGGGAGGGCTTGCTGATGATTGCAATGCTGAGCGGGCAGAGTGTGTGCTTGCGCACACCGGCCTGTGCGGCTTTCGTCTTCCGAGCAAGCCACCAACCCGCCGAAAATCCTACGATTTTCGGCAGGTTTTCCAGCATGCTAGGAAACGAAAGTCGTACGACCTTACAGTAGACGCACGCTGCCCATACACCTGCTGATTATCGTACGATCGCGGGATCATCTGCTATTATTGTACGATAATCAACAGGTATATGGGCACCTTAAGTCTTGTATAATTCCATATTTGTATATATATGATTTGTGAGTGTTTTTTTTTTTTTCTTGAAATGCTTTCAAATTACTTTTTTGCACAGGAAGAAAGGTGCGTGTCTGACCATTTCTGTTACTCAGTGCTGCTTACTGAGTGAACTGGGTCTAAAGCTGGGTACACCCAGAGAGATTTTTTTTTTCTTTCAGCCTGTGAGGTTGACCGGAAAAAATCTGATAGGTTCCTCCATCCACACTAACAGCATGAATAAATGAAACTCCTGCTGTGTACATTTCATTCTGACAGTGGCGCCCACTGCTCTCAGAATTAGTGATGAGCTCGGTGCCGAGCCGGCCAGAAAGCTGACAGGTAGTGAGGCATGTTCCCAGTCCGCAGCTGCAGAGATCGGGAAATGTCTCAGTACCTGTGATTGGTGCTGCCAGCTTCCTGGCGGGCTCGGCACGTGGAGCTGCGAACACGCCCGAGCCCATCACTAGTCAGGATAGCTGAGCTGATAGGCTGCAAACACTGTTCGGCTGACAATTTTTCAGCATGTCACTGTGATAATAGTCAATCATTAGATCTTTGTAAAGGAGATAGGGTCATCCACGTGTTGAATTTTGTCTAATTCTTGCTGTTTTGGCCAAAATTCAGTCTTCTGGACTGCAAAGTCGTATTTAGACACCATGCACAACTGCTGTAAAAGGTAAGCGGAGGGAAGACTATAAGATGGAGCTTGTTAGTACAATATTTCTCTGACTGTATATCTAGTAGAACTGGGCCAGTAGTTGTAGAATTGCCTTTGTAGACCATAAAACAAGAGGGCCTGGTACTGTCTGAAACACAGGGTGCAGATGCATCTTGAAGGGCACAGGGGTTCTGCTTCAGGCAGATGTGTTGCTCGAACACAGAGTTACATGTCACTTAGGAGGTACACTACAAACCAGCATAAAGCTGTTAGTCGATTGTGAGCTGGAAAGGCTCACAGGGCCTATTATCAGCCATACTAACTGTATGTAATATGAGATATTACTGGCAATGGTTACTCACAAACAAACTTCAGAAGCAGGGAGGGTTATATGACCATCTGTGATATTGTCACTGTAAGGCAGTAGCAGGGAGTGTGCCTAATACCTTGCAGAGCAGCGTAGCAGTGGTGAAGGCTTCAGGTAGAAGGCAGGAGAGGCTGTAAAAGGTGCATAAGCACAACACAGGAGGCGGCGCGGCACATATGCGGTGAGTTGCGACACAATGAGGGAGCCGTGCAGGCTCACTTAGGCGTGGGCAACACAAATTTAAAAGTCATGGAATTTATTTGCACACCTTACTGTTATTGACCATATAGTTGAAAGGATGTTTCCACAACTAGTTAGATTGTATAACATAGATAAGATATGCGGTCAGCACACCAACAAGTGTTTTTAAAGTGTGAAGCTCTTCTTTATTGCATGATCACAAAGAAAAATGTTTTCGTCACAGAATCAAAACACACATTATGCACTTGAAACCTCACTAAAAACCCCTACCAACCATAAATTTGCTGAAAGCAGCAGGCCTAACGAAAAGTGCAAATGTGTGCATCAGTTAATTTTACTACCCTCAGAAAGGGGCTGATGTGACCTTATGTGACCTGGTGGTGGCAGGTCCTCAGATGCTTTCTCTGCCTTCATCACATTGAGTTCAGGGACAGCCAGAGGGCCTGATGAGCCTTGGGACTGGCAGGGAAGGGGGAGACACTTCCCACCGCTGTTTTGGACATGAGCATTTGAGATATAGTTACGTGTTTATTACACAGTACAAATACATGAACCCTTACCTCTGAAAGGATTTGTAAATTCTATTCAGCCAGTTTTGTTATTCAGGCTCCTTTGCCAGACAGCACGGCCAAGTACTGCACCTCCCTGCAGACTACACAGCATTTACAGGAACCCTGTATTGCAAGTTAAAATCTCCATCTGAAAATACCTGTTCCTTCGCTATCAAATACCTGGATATCAAAGTGTTTTTATACCCGATTGGAGTTCAGATATAACATAAATATAGTCGTTCACACATAATAGAGTGAATTGTTTTAGATTGGCTCATGAGGTGCCGTCAGACTAGAACAACTTGCACTGATATAAATTCTAGGCTTACCTGTTTCTTTAGATGCTTGTTCAGTACAGCCAAGGACACTGAGTAATATCTTGAACAATCTGCTAGAGCTGCACAGCAATCATTGTATGTAGAAAGTTTGCTGGAATGGCAACAACAAAAGTTAAACCAAATATCAAAGCTTGTTTTATCTATGTTTATATGTGAGCCACTTTACCAGCCAAAACACTTGTAATTTTCTTCACACAGCCCAGTGATTCACATCTCTACCACACTGCACAGCCAAGCAAGTGATAACTATTTACTGGTTTAGCTTCGCAACTTTTCTGTGTCACCGCTTCACCTCCAGACATATTTGCCCTACAAGCAGACTAGTAATACAAGAAACTGTAAAGCTGAACTAGCAAGAGTCATCTTTCTGACTATGCAGTGTGGCAGAGGTATGTGAATCACAAAAAATTACCAACAACATTACAAATCTTTTGGAAGGTAAAACAGTTCACTTATCTGTATTTATCAGTTTACCTGGATATACTCCTCTTGGTTACTCTAAAAGTCATAATAAAAGTCAGGGTAATATTTTGCAACTCACACTTTTAAGGCATGCAGTGAAGTCAACTACAGTCAAGCTTAGGATGATTCCACTGTATAAATCACACGTGTAATATATGTGTAACTTACATACAAACACAAGGCTTTTTGAAAAGCAATCATGAATTGCTTGCATTCAAAAGTCCAACACTCAGCCACATGCGTCTAGTATACCAGCATTAGAGATGTGTGGGGGCTTGGTGCTAACCCAGTTCACCTGGGTTCACCTTAGCCCATGCAAAACTGTGACAGACACCCCCCCAGCTCTATCACTTGCAGCAACTCCATCCCTTTGTGAGGTGTAGCAGTGGGGCAGGGAATGTTCAGGCCAGTGTTCACCAGTGTCCAGCCGTAAAAACTAATATATAGTAATTGGAAACCAAAAATGTTTATAATAATAAATAATATATAAAATGTTACCTATAAAAACAAAAAATATATAACATATCAAAAACTGATTTTTTATGTTATATAATTTTTATATTGGGTACATTTTATATATTATTATATATATTTTTGGTTTCCAATTACTATATATTAGTTTTTTGCGCTGGGCACTGGTGAATATTGACATACACTGTATTGCCAAAAGTATTGGGACACCTGCCTTTACACGCACATGAACTTTAATGGCATCCCAGTCTCAGTCCGTAGGGTTCAATATTGAGTTGGCCCACCCTTTGCAGCTATAAACAGCTTCAACTCTTCTGGGAAGGCTGTCCACAAGGTTAAGGAGTGTGTCTATGGGAATGTTTGACCATTCTTCCAGAAGCGCATTTGTGAGGTCAGGTACTGATGTTGGATGAGAAGGCCTGGCTTGCAGTCTCCGCTCTAATCCATCCCAAAGGTGTTCTATCGGGTTGAGGTCAGGAATCTGTGCAGACCAGTCAAGTTCCTCCACCCAAACTCGCTCACCCATGTCTTTATGGACCTTGCTTTGTGCACTGGTGTGCAGTCATGTTGGAACAGGGAGGGGCCATCCCCAAACTGTTCCCACAAAGTTGGGAGTAGGAAATTGTCCAAAATGTCTTGGTAAACTGGTGCCTTAAGAGTTCCCTTCACTGGAATTAAGAGGCCAAGCCCAACCCCTGAAAAAACAACCCCACATCATAATCCCCCCTCCACCAAACTTTCACTTGGCACAATGCAGTTAGGCAAGCACTGTTCTCCTGACAACTGCCAAACCCAGACACGTCCATCTGATGGCCAGACAGAGATGCGTGATTCATCACTCCAGAGAACACGTATCCACTTCTCTAGAGTCCAGTGGCGGCGTGCTTTACATCACTGCATCCGACGCTTTGCATTGCACTTGGTGATGTAACGCTTGGATACAGCTACTCGGCCATGGAAACCCATTCCATGAAGATCTCTACGCAGTATAGTTGCGCCAATCTGAAGGCCACACGAGGTTTGGAGGTCTGTAGCTATTGACTCTGCAGACAGTTGGCGAATTCTGCGCACTGTCATTTTACGTGGCTTACCACTTCGTGGCAGAGTTGCTGTTGTTCCCAGTTGATTCCACTTTGTTATAATACCACTAACAGTTGGCCGTGGAATATTTAGTAGCAAGAATATTTCAAGGAACACCTGAATCCAATGAGGAGTGTCCCAATACATTTGGCAATATAGTGTATGTGAGAGTGTGCTTGCTCTTTTGTTCAGCTGCTTTTAGTGTTTAATAGATCAGGGAAGACTAGGAGCGCGGATATTACATGTATACAATGTCCAGGCCAAAGCTGATTGTTCCCGGTGGGAGCGGGTGTGTCACAGTTTTGCGTAAGCTTGGGCGAACTCCAGTGAACTGGGTTCCCAGCAGGCCCCAGCACATCATTAATTAGCATATGCTTTAGTTCAAATAGACAATTACTAAAAAGAGTACTGGCACTCACCTGAGTATCCGTGAAACATTTGTGCAGATGTCCTTATCATTAATGTATATCTCCAAGAGAATACATAAATCAAGTAAGGCATTACATGCAAGGAACTTCAGCCTTGACTGTGAAAGATCAGCAAGATTCCGCAGTGTTGCAGTGAGCTGTATAAAATATGTATACAAATGTCAAAACTCTTACAGAAGATAAATGCCATTAAGATGTACAGATATTGTCTAAAGAACCTTAAGCAGTAGGGATCAAAAAAGCTCAAAAGGTATTGTATGTGTGAACTTAGGTAAAGAATTATTGCCTGTCATGTTCTGTTAACATTTATTTGAGGAAGCTTTTGTACTGAAAAAACAGAACTATAGCCAGTATTGTGATAATCACTGCAGCATTTTTATTTTGCTGAGCAGATTCTTATAAAACATGTGCATTAAGGTTCCCCCGGTAACCTCAGAGCCATATGGTTATGTCATAACTCTTATCCAGCACTTACAGACATTAAGTGGCTTTTTTTTTAGGTGAAGAATGACATGCTGCTTTCAATAAGAGAGAACTGGAAAAATCAAACTAAATCTAAAGGCAAACGTTTTTTCTTCTTTTGGATAGCCAGGGGAAGGGTTAAAACCTCTGACAGTTGTTTTTGCTATTTGTGCCCCATTGGGGAGATTTACTTTCACTTCTAGTCCTGTAGATACAACAGGAAGTGAGAGAAAATATCTTCAAAAGTGAGGAAAATGCTCTGTTAATAGAACATGTATCTCCATGGAAAGATTTCCCCTGCATTCCTGTTCTGATGACAACAAATATTTTGGGATTTTACCTAACTTTAAATCCCAGTGACCTTGGCCACCAAGACAAATAGAGAGAGTAAAATTTCCCAGTGGGGACACAGACAGCAATTGGAATTTGGAAAAGGTTTTTAAAGATACATATTGTTAATTTATAAAATAATAGTTAAAACCCAATTGAATTTCGATTACATTAAGTAAATGCATTACAACAAAAGTCTTAGTTTGTTTACTTTTAAAATCAGCCATGAAAAGCATATGTACAGCCAGCAGCTGCCGAGAGGGATCCTAACTCTCTGTGAGTAAGCAGTGATCTTTCTGTAGAGGTCTGACACCCCCCCTGCTGAGTCAGAGCTGGAGCTCTCCAATCAGCAGCGAGCATTAATTTGCTGATTGGAGAGCAAAGGGGTACAGTGAGATCACTGCTTCCACACAGAGGGTAAGAGTCCCATTCTGCAGCTGCTAGCAGTAGGCAGGCTTTTCTACTCAGGCTGTGGCTGATTTAAAAAAGGAAAAGGAACTGTCAAGGTGCCCACACACCTTGCAATTATCGTACGATAATCGCGGGAAATCACACGATCGTACGATAAACGCAATGTGTGTGGAAAGTGTGCGACCGTTTCTACTGTACGGTCGCACGACTTTTGTCTTACGAACATGTTTGAAAACCAGCCGAGAATCGTACCATTTTCGGCTGGTTTGTGGCATGCTCGTAAGAGAATTGCCGCACGGGCCAGTGTACGCAAGCGCACACTGCCCGTTTAGCATTGCGGTCATCGGAAGCCCACCCGCCCCGATTATCGCAAGTACGATCTGCCTGTCCAAGATGGGCAGATCGTACGTTTTTGTAATGAACTTACAACCATCGCAAGACAACAGTCTTGCGATGGTTTTAAGGTGCATGGGCACCTTAAGACAATGATCACCTTTTGTTTTTAATGTACCTGAAATGTATTTAGTGGATTTACACTGAAGGTTCAATTGTGCTTCAATTTAAATCAGTAAATCAGCTGATAAAGATGGTTGCACATATAGTGAAATATTCCCAAGATGACATCATAAAGACCCACTGCTGTACTGAGCACTACAATGTTTCTTCATTTTATCTTTGGATTATTTCAACACAAAATGTTCTTTTTACGGCTCCTCGGTTGCTGCCTGACCAAGACTTACACCTGTATTCATACAAAGCAGTTTTCAAATATAGACCAATATAGCGATTTTATTAAAGCAGAACTCTATTTATATTTATAATTTTTTTTATTGCTGGAATGCATTATTAATAGGAATGCACCGCAACCATTATCGGTATTGGTGCCGATACTGGGCATTTTCACAAGTACTCATGAAAATGTCCTGATACTAAAAACCAATACCGACGATTGAAATTATTTAATTGAAGCCGCTGCCTTAGGTCCAGCACTTACTGGGGACCTCGCAGCAGCCTCTTGGGAATCACGCAGCGCCTGGTTACAGCTCTTTTGCTGGCCTGCACATCTCCCCCTCCTGAGACCCTCCACACCCCGCCTGAGACATCAGGCCGGCACTCCGGAGCAGAGTGGCAGCACAGAGTATGTAGCAATACATATACTATTATTCTGCATTGCTGTATAATGTATTGCTAGGATTTGTAGTCGTATATAGCCGGTGCCATTCGGTGCTGAGATTTGTACTCCTTTATAGCTGATGATATTATTCTGCATTGCTATAGCATGTATTGCTGAGATTTATAGCCCCTCTACAGCTTGCAGTCAGTGGCAGAACTTCCAGGGTCACAGCGGTTGCAGCTGCAACCAGGCCCTGGCACTCCGCCACTGTTGTTAAATCATAAGTCTGTATTGTTATAGAAAAACTGTCACATGACACACAAAAAAGAGGTATCGGTTTATTGGTATCGGCAGGTACTTGAGGAAAAGTATCGTTACTTGTACTAGGTCTGGAAAAAATGGTATTGGTGCATTCCTAATAATTATGTTTTTTTTAAGCAAAGAGTTGTACTTTAATTAACCCAATTGGCCACCATCAGGTTTCTGTGCTCAATTCATAACAGATACTATTTTTTTTTGTGTGGATAATCTGATTGCCTCCTACAAGATCAGCAACTTGTCCTAGTGCATTTCACCTTTCCCCTAAATGTAAACTGAGTCAAAGTTAATTTCTGTTTTTCTCCAACTGCGATATATTTTACCGCTGTCCCCAGTCTTTGTTGTATTTGATAGCACATCACACAGACTATATACAGAGAACATCACAGACTTCTGCAAAGAAAACATTCTACTTTGCATTGACTTTCTATAGTATGATGAACCCTAAACTAAGGGGATGTGGATGAACACCATTATCTGTGTAGGGGGTGGTCTTTATCCCATTTTATTATCAAACACAAGTTGCTGTGTCATTTGTTGCAAAAAAAAATTTTTTAAATGGTCAGCTGTATATTTTTATATGCAATTTACAGATTGCCAGCAGCAAAACGAGATAACAATCATGTATAATCAGGTATGAGACCGTTTCTTTTGCCTCAAAAAAAGATCTTTGGCCTACAATAAGCAACCAAGATAGTAGTTTTGAGAAGGAACAGACCTGTACTAACAGATGGCTCATATCAGAAGCCATTTCTAGACTGGTGTTGAAATGGATGATCTGCTTCATTAACTCTATTAGAATTTCCACTGCTTGTTTTCTAAGCAAGTCACTCAGGAGAGCTGTATTCCCAGACAGAAATTTGATAGTTCCCAAACAATAAAGGAAAGCTTCACTGTTAGCCTGGGCATCTTCATTCTGTAGGACCTCTAGTAATACACCTGAGGAAAACAGAAGTTTAGGTATCAAAACAAAGTGGTGTAATGAACAGACTCTAAATATTACATTTAGCAAGAGCCGGGACTGGTTTGAATTAGGCTTTGGGATTTTTGGGTGGCTATAAATAGGAACATATTACTCCAAGAATGAGGTGTGGGGAAAAAGCTCCTTCATCCTGCATCAACCTTTCAGATCCAACATGATATATTGGCTCATGTCGGAACATACAGTATATTAATTTGTGCCTTTAAAAAAACAGAGGAGCTGGTTATCCTGTATATTAAATTCATTTTAAGAAAATATAACACATTATGAATTTGAGAGTGGTGACCCATTGTTTAAATGATATTTAGGATCTGCCCACTACTGGGTGAAGAGGACCTGTGATGCCATGTAACTGACAGGACACCTGGCAAAAAGATATGTATACAGTTTTTCCCATCACTTTTTATCCCAGTATCACTACTGCAAAAAATAAGTGGAGCAGGCAGGACCGGATTAAGAGCATCATGGGTCTGGTGCTGTCAGTCAGGAAGCAGGAGACGGTTCTATAATTAGACAGCCACTCGCTCTGTGCAGTGTCCCCACAAGGTCCCAGCAAGCGATCGCCTAATATTTGTGGTTAGAGAGCCAGCAGCCTCTGCCTGATTGTGTTCAGCCCAGCAAGCCTGGATTGCCATGGGGCATACAGAGGCGATGTGAGCTGGCCAGGCCTATTTTCAGTGGTGGGCCTGGAGCTGGTGCTCCAGCATCCCCTAGGTTAATCCAACCCTGGAAGCAGGGATCCCAAAGACAGAAAGAAGAGGGAAATAAAAACCTCACAAAGTTTCCAAACTCCCCACTCTATAAAAAATATTGTTGATGCTGTGTTCCCTTTGGTTAGATTTCTCATCTCTTCCTGTCCCTTCGACAGAAAGCGATGGAACAATATTGTAAGAAACATTAAACTTGACCTTAAAAAGGTCAGTTCTTATATTGTTAATGTAAGCGGTAAGCTGTAAATGTTGCAATGATGTACATTTTGCTCTGTCATAATAAAGGGCACAAAGAGGAAATTAGTCGGGATGCCAGCAATCTGTTTGAGAAACTCTGGTCAGTTCACTTTATCCCTTTACAAAACCCATGAAAAAAATAAAATAAACTGGGGTGGATTTAAAATCAGGTCAGACTCTGTAAACCAGTATGTCACCAGATCAATATTCGGTAAATATGTTTGAGAAATGGTTTCTAATAGACAGGTCCACCTCCATACAGACTGGCTCTACTGTGGCCACTGATATATATTTTCACTAATTGCCACGTTACCAAGACGTACACAATTACAGTATCAGTGAGTATAGATAGTGTGCTAAATACACAGATAGAAGTTGTTGTACCTGCCAAAGACCTGTATTTCTGTCGATCCAGTCCTGAGAGTTACACAGTTTTGCCCTGTAGAACAGCCTCAGTGGAAGTGACCACCTGTTTTTCTGTTGCAGTTTTATTTAAGGGTCTCCTCCCCACTCCCAGTATATGACAGGATAATAAAAAGGGAAGCACACTTTGAAGCTCATCTGCCTGTCACTATGTTCTTTCCTTCTATCAGCATGCTATTTGCACTGCAGAACACCCTTCTGGCTCTTAGTGAAGCTTCTCCCACCCTTTCCCCGGGCTCTGCTGTACAGGGACTGCAAAAGGCAGATACCAAGAAAAACAATGTACTTACACTGCTTGCATTTGCAAAATAAAATGTTGTATTAAGGATTAGGGAGATGCATTTACATTTTCTATTTATATCTGTCTAGAGTTCAGCTTTAATACAAAAAGAAATATATGCAAGTTTAGGCATGTAAAAACTTTCCCTTTAAAAAGGAGAACTATGGGGTTAGGGCTTTTCCCCATAATTATCCTTAGGGTAACGGGAGGACACAAACTAGCGTCCTCCCGTCACCTTAGGCTCAGTATACAGACTGAGCCTAAGGTGTACTGAGCTGTATACAGACAGCTCGCGGTATACTGAGACGCCGCAGTGTACCGTGAGCAGCAGCTCACGGTATACTGAGACGCCGCAGCTGAAGCGGTTCCCAACAATTGTGCCGGGATCCGCCCAGCTGCGTGACTGACAGCTGGCTCTGCTTATCTAGAGGCAGAGCCAGCTGTACCCGCCCCCGCCCCCGTCCGCTCCGCCAGTCAGCGCTGGCGCGGATCGGAGCGGGGGGAATCCAGCAGATAGCCGTGACAGGATCGAGAGGTGAGCGAACGCCGGTATGTGTTCGCTCACCTCCCGATCTACTGAGCCGACCTGTGACAGTCTCATTGTCACAGGTCGGCTAGAACTATGAGGGGAGTGAAAAGCACTCACCTCATAGTTCTCCTTTAACATTACTCCCATATTTGTTTTGCATATGTATTTACAAATATAAGAAACAGTTTAAACCAGGGGTGCCCATTAGGTCGATCGCAAAGCAAACACTGGAAGATCGCGATCAGCTCACTGTCCTGAGAGAGGAGGAGAGACAGCCAGGAGAGAGAGGAGAGGCAGCCAGGAGAGAGGAGCAGAGACAGCCAGGAGAGAGGAGGAGAGACAGCCAGGAGAGAGAGGAGAGAAAGCCAGGAGGGGGGAGGAAGGAAAGGCCAGGAGAGAGAGCAAGGAGAGACAGCCAAGAGAGAAAACGAGGAATGACAGCCAGGAGAGAGAGAGAGCGAGTAAAGACAACCAGGAGAGAGAGCAAGGAGAGACAGCCAGGAGAGCGAGGAGAGACAGCCAGAAGAGAGAGAGTGAAGGAGTTTTTTTTCGTTGGTAGATCTCATGTAGCTAAGAGAGGGGAGAGAGAGAGAGAGAGAGAGAGAGAGAGAGAGAGATTCAGTAATCCGAGTAACACATTATATTGTGCTTATTTTTTAAATATACTTGTTTTTTTTCATTGGTAGATCTCATTGAGCTCGTCATTTGAAAAGTAGATCTCAAGACAAAAAATTGTGGGCGCCCCTGGTTTAGACAATAGAAAATAAGATTAGGAAACGCCATTAGAAACATCCGCAGAGGTAAGTAATAGCAGCTTGTGTGCCATTATGAGTCAAATCCCTCTGAATGCGACATTTTCAGTAGCAGCAGATTCTCTAGTCTAACCTTTAGGCCCCCGTTCACACAGGGGCGGTTCGGTCGCATGGATCCGCCGACATGAACGATCCCATACCTTGCTATGGGGACCGTTCATGCGACCGCGCAAGTCCGCGCGTTCCGTACCGCCCCCCGCCCGAACTGCTACCTGCACTATTTTTGCCGCGCTGATCAGTGCGGCTTCCATACAGGTTTCAATGAAACCACGCTCATCAGCACGGTTTGGGGAGTTTTTAATTGCGTTTCATCGCTGAAACGCAATTAAAAACTCCCCAAACCTCCCTTGCGAGATCAGCGTGGTAGCCACCCTGATCCGCAACCGCCCTGGTGTGAATGGGCTCTTATTCAGAAATGCAATAATGGCTTCATGTCTAATAAGGGTATGGTTTACAGCTACTTTGTAAGGCCTACTAAAAACACGTGACAAATGATAATGTTGAGATGTGTTAAAAACTGCTGACCTAGTATATTGAGTAAAATAAGGAAGAATAAAGTCAGAAGGAGTTGCCTTAAAAGAGGAATAAATGACCTCACCCATCAGGTCATCATTTTGGAAAAGACGATCATTGTTTTTGCTTCTGCTTATTTTGAATACAAGCTTGCAGATGTTCAGGAGGTTCTTGCCGCTCACTTTCAGCTGAAGATAAAGGAACAAATGTTTGTATTGTGCACAGTCAAATCACCTAGAGGCTTTTATACATGCAGGCTGAGCAAACAGGAATGACAGTGTATAAGGTTTAGTCACCCGTTGCAAGCACATTTCATCTTTTATCATATTAGAGCAGTCAATACAATTGGAGATCATTTTCATCAGTTCGGTTGCTATGGGTTAATGCAACGTATTTATGCACAGATCTGATACTGACTCAAAGGTGGATTCATATCTTTATCAAACATTCCTATGCACGCATGGAAATTTCAATGCATTCCTTTACAGAGGCTCTCTATTGTTGTTTTGATGCCTGTGACCTGTAGATATGTAATATGGGTGAGTTCTAAGATGAGGTAAAATAAAAGTAAATAACTTTACAAAAGTACAACTAATTTTCAACCAGTTCCAGACTTTGGACGTAGGAGACACTTCTTTGAAACTTCAACAATATTGGTAGAGTTCAATTCATATGTCAGCTAACCTTTAACCCGTTCCAGACTTTGGGCATAGGGGATATTTCTTTAAAACCTCAAAATGTTGCTAGAGTTCAATTCCTATGTCCTATGCCAGCTAACCTTTAACCCGTTCCAGACTTTCGACACAGGAAATACTTCTCTAAAACTTAAACAATGTTGCTAGGGTTCATTTCCTATGTCCTAGGCCAGCTAATCTTTAACCGGTTCCAGACTTTGGGCGTAGAAGATACTTCTTTAAAACCTAAAACAACATTACTAGGGTTCATTTCCTAGGCACTGAGTTTTATGCCACTCCACTGCTCCCCACCCAGCTTCCCAATGCATTACTTGTTTGGTGTAACTGGAGAGGCTGCAGCTGCTCTTGTGTAAATTTAAACTTGCAAGTAGTGTTTGCAAGTTTCATTAGCAAATACGATGTAACAATATTATTGTTACATCCTAACTTATGGCTCAAGTCGGTGGGGGTTGTTTTCCTGAGATTGAAGTGCGTTTGGAATGCATCTCAATCTCAGGTCAGCGAAATCCCATTGACTTTATTGGAGCAGTACACATGGCAGTTTAGAGGCTGAGTTTGACCTATTTTGCGTTGTGTTGTGTTACTTTGGATGCAACATGTCCTGTTAGGAACTGCTAACAAAGCTCAAACACAGTCTTTCTTTTGAAATGCTGTGTTTTAATTGAATGCAGCTGCATGTGTTTGAATGAAAAAAAAAAATGGGTTTAACTAGAACGCCTGTTGACGTGAATCCTTACCCTATTTCATTTAAGGGGTAACTTTTGATCTTCATATGACATCATTAAAAGATAACTCTGGCCCAACCTTTTTTTGCCATAGTTCCCTTTAGGGTCACTGGAGGACATATATTAATGTCTTCCTGTGACCCAAAACTCAGCATAGAGCGGGCTATTGCCAGCTATATGCTCACTGTGCAGAGCCATGCTGCAGTCGGGACAGATCCCAACAATATTGCCTGATTGACAGCTGGCTCAGCCTCTCAAGAGGTCAAGCCAGCTAAGCCCACCCCCTCCCCCATCCGTTCCTCCAGTCAGCGCTGGAGGAATAGAGAGGGGAAGGGGGAATCCCTGCGGGGAGCAGTGACTGAGAGTCATCGCTCTCTGCAGGGAACTGAGCGATGGGCAGAATGTGATCACTCAGTTCGCGATCAACAGAGCCAACGCGTGACAGCTTCAGTGTTATACGTCAGCTCTAATTATAGGAATGAGTGTATTTCACTCTCACCATAATTCCCCTTTAGAAGCAACCTTACAGGCTCCAGCTGTGAATGGTGAGGAGAGATAGGAGCTGATAAGTAGCCTTGGAAGTGCTGTTGGTACAGCTTATCTCAGGGAGGAGCAACGCCATTCAGGATTTTCAAACCTTCCCATTTAATGTTTCCTTTGACAATGACAGGCTAGGTGGGCTTGGGCATCCTCAGAGATGAGATGATCACCCAATATGACGAAAAATTGGGTACTTTGGCTATGGCTCTTTACAAGTACCACTTGGCTCATAGGCTGAAAAGACTAACTGTGGAACTTCCCAAAAAACCGTATAAAATTAGAGTTTTTAAGCTACTCATGAACAATGTTAAAAATCTATTTCCGAAAAAGCTTACCGCTAAAATGATCTTTGCCAGGCTGAGACAGAGTCTATCGGAACCAATATCTACCAGCTTGTACATGGTCTTCAGAATTATAGATCGCCTTTTGCATCGCTTGCCCAACATATTGCCATCTTCCAAGGTCTTCTGCAATTTAACACATAGACTGCAGAGATCTTCAGCATTTTTATCTGTCATAAAGGTGCAGACATGTTACATATGAATAATGCATGACATGTTGTTTCTTGTTTATATTTTATTAAGAAACAATAAGTACGTTTTAAATGTGCTAGTAGTAGCGCAATCAATAATCAACTGGACTATATAAATGTTTAAAAGTTTATCGAAGCTGCTTTTTCCATTTAAATGAGTGTCATGAACAAACCCTAGCATGAGTTCCTGACATTTATTAGAACTAAAGAAGTAGCTTAGATATGCTGTGAAATGTTTTCAGAATAAGTCCACTTGACATATTTCTACTGGCTATACCATGACCACAATAAATAAGGATCTTTACAGATTTTAAAAAGGACAAACCTTTATATCTGTCCATAGAATATTGGGTAAAATCTTGTATAAATGAACTTTGCATATCTAACTGACATCTATTTGAAAAAGAAGATATGTTGATCGACCCCCTCTAAATTTCTAAAACCACAAAGTTTAACATCCTAACCAGATGTTATTTCACAACTTTACTCCAAAACTAGAGTCAAATAATATGAAAGCCCTTAATCGCTCCTCAAAAGGTTGAAAAGCTGCTTCTTTGCATAGATATCTGTTCAACCACTTTCCCAAAAAAATGATTGATCTTTTCAACACCCAGACAAACATATATACCAAATCTGATATGGGAGAACTCGGAAGAAGTCCATTAAGATACAAGAGCCCCATAATTTCTACCAAAGCAACAGAAACCCTGCCAAAATCTCTCTGTCAAACCTTACAGAATTTATTAAAGTTATTCTTGGGGCTCCTGGAGAAGTCGGCAATGGCAAGTAGAATATATCTCTAACTATAGGTTTATTTCAAATGGTTTAATTCACATCATCAGAAACGTTTATCTACCTGGGCTGTAACCATCCCCATAAATCACCAACTTATGTCGCCTCTGACCTGAATACACAAAGACAAGTCTACTAGCAGCATTATAATTAGCAATTTTAACTGCAACTTTGTATTGCCATACTCAGATGTACCCCAGGGTGGGCTGGAAAAATAAGGGAATCATCTGTTGTCAGCTCTCATTTTATAATGTAAGTAATTAAAGCTTAACTCCAGTCAGCTTTTAAAAACAACATTTGGGTGGCACCTTTTCTGTATATTAAAGATCTCATGCTCATTTAGTATAAAACCTGTGACACACTGCATGCAAAACGAAGCTGCGAGGCGCGGAGCTGAGCGCATCCAGATGAAAGACCATCTTCAGCCAATCGGCTCACACGCATTCAGATGAAAGACCATCTTCAGCCAATCGGCTCACGCCTGTGACACACTGCATGCAAAGCAAAGCTGCGAGGCGCGGAGCTGAGCGATTCCAAATGAAAGACCATCTTCAGCGGCTCACATGTAACAACTCAATGGACCTCGCATCCTGACATGTGGGTTTATATGCGCAAGCCGATTGGCCGAAGACTAAATTTTTCATCTCACTACGCTCAGCTATGCTAGCTCTTGCAAGCTCATGCGCTGGAACGAAAATTGCAAGACACACTGCTGGTGAAGGTCTGTGCGCCTCCGCTTCCCTTTGCTGCACACTGCTTCGCATGCGGTGTGTCATGAGCTTTAGGGATTGTTCTAACTTCCTCAAAAGCCAGCACTCTTCTCCAATCCCACTCCAGGAATGTGCGTGGGCCCTTGATACCACTGGTCCTACATTGTAGATTATAAGGTTTATGAAGGAGTGGCCAAATGACTAGAGAGAAGGAGTGGCTTTGCGGGATTGGTCATCCATCCCAGAACAGGTGGAGAAGTTGGTAAGTATTCATCTGTGCTGTGGACAAACCCAAACATAATTTTTATAAGCTGACCACAGTTACGTTTTAAATAAGATTTCCCCATAAAAATTAGATCCCATGACTTGCAAGTATACTGTCCCCGTTACAATTATGTGCTTGTGACTTTGTTTGGTTCAATATAGGAGATATATTTTCCTAATGTAAGTTCAACATGGAAAATCTCAGCATTTGTAAAACAACTAGCTGTGCTCGTCATATACACATTTGGTCCATTGGTTATTTTTAAATCTATAGTATGTCTGTTTGTCGGTATACAGAGGGGAATTTATTAAAACTGGAGCAGACAGAATCTGGAGGAGTTGTCCATGGCAACAAACCAGCTTTACTCTTTCATTTTCAAAGCTTAACTGAATAAACTGAAGAGAGAAGCTGCTTGGATGCCATGGGCAACTGCTCCAGTTTTGATCAATTCCCCTTATAGTGTACAGGTATGGGGTTACTCTGTCACATGCACAGGTGTTATTTTACATACATAAACTGAAAGCAGATGGAAGTCGGATCCAGACCAAAGGAGAACATTAGCAGAATATTAACAAAAGGTAATAAAGCAAAGGAACATTCAAATTTCCTAGCTCTGATAACCATCTAAAACTAACAATATAATAAAAAGAACAACTTACATTCTGGTTGAAAACAAGCTGAACTGGATTTGTATTAACGATGCCTGTACTTTATAAACTAATATTATTTATAAGGAGCTTTACTAAAGATACGGCTGCCAAGTGGAACAGCCCTTAAACAGTAATAAACATACATCCAAGAAACTGGCTCTTTGCCAGTCATCACGTGCAGTACAATGTCTGGTGGCACAGAGCCAAGAAAAAAGCTCTTGTTGAGTTCCAACGTAGAGATAAGGCAATCTGCCTCATCTCCTGTTGCTTCAGTTCACACCAATGTGCTGCACTGGGGCGTGCTGAAGAAAAAAAAAAAAAGAGACGTAGCATTTTTGTGCAGCGCAAAGTATTCTAATGTGCTATAACACATTGCAATGCAATGCCACACACAGAGTTAGATCAAGTAAAGGTTAAATAAGGTTTTTAAAAAAGCAAGGACTGCAGTGCGTTTTACAACATATCGCGATGCACTTGCACCAAAATATGTGCCTGCTAAAGTGAATGGGCCCTAATACTGCTATCTTTGAATTTAAGTGCATAGCAAGCTACAAACATGTTTACCCATAATAATAGGCTTTAATCTTTTTATATGAATTGCAGTACATTACTGCTTTCAGTTTGCAGTTCTATTTAAAACTCTAAGAGAATTTTTGTGGCTGGAATGAAAGTGGTTCCAGGCAGAAACGGCCGCTCAGCATGTTCAAAAGCAATGGCAGGCTGACAGGAGCCAAAGCTGTCCGCCACTATTCACCTCCAGCGGTTATCTGTAGCTGGGGACAGCTGTTAGACCCTGGATAGAGAGAGATTGTGTCCACAGCTACTAATCTGTCCCTAACCGCAGTTAACTGCCAGGTGTGGGGATACATGCAAAGAGCATCAGGCGGCGACGGTTCCTGTCAGTCATAGCTTTGAACAGTAGGGGGCGGACACAGGCATAGGAGACCACTGTTGTTTTACTCTGTATTAAACAAGACAAACATCAAAGTGGGATTTGGCCTCCCTGGCCTTTATCTATACTAAAAAGGACAATGCCCTGTCAAGAATTATTAACTGGAATACGGGTGTGCAGATAAAATTGTGGGTCCCCCCCGAAAGAAACTTTAGCAGGGCGCAACTTGGCTTGTCTGACTGATACTTCCTCATCCTTGACATTAGCTTCCCTACAGATACGCGACTCCTTAAATAGTGAGGGTACTTTTATTTTACTGCCAATGTTTGCCCCAGGAGAGCAACTTTTTTTTTTTGTCGGGTGGGAGGTACATAGAGACAACTGCTGTTTTTGTTTCCTGGAAGGTGCCCATCTGAAGTTGCTTTAGTACTTTTGTAAAGAATTGGGATTATTTAGCTTGGACACTTGCAAATATGAGGAACTCTCCGAGAAGTCTAGGCAGACCCATGAGGTTGTATACCAGATTACCTTCATTTAAGACCTTATATAAGCAGAGAGCAATCTTAGACCACTCTTCACTACATACAAACTCTTTCTAGAGAAAAAGATCTCTGTCTATACTTTATTTTCTTTCATGTAATGGACTAAGAATGAGAATTGGGTTGTTGGTAAAGAAAATTGTCAAGTGAACCCACATCTCTTCCATACATTCCATACACAAGAATCATGTCACAAATTATGAACCAGATGGTACAGAGTGCCAGACAGGCTGGCTAGGATGTGCCCTGCTACTTCCGCAGAGTGCTGGAGAGGATGTGGTCAAAAAGGCACCTAGCTGCATCTATGGTGGGACTGCTCCGGCTTTTAAGCATTTTGGCTGGAGATTAGGGGGGCTACTCAACAAAAAGGTACCAGACAACCCTTTAGTAGTTTGATGTCATGCTACACTCACATCTTTTGGCTCCTCCAAGGAGGTCTCCAATGTCACATTTGCTGAATGTTTGGAAGGGGTTCCCCATGTTGTGGAAATCTCGGCATGTCAGGTCAGTGCACAGAAAAAAGAAACATTGATGACAGGCAGCTTGGAGATTTTTGGCAGAAGGGACTTACACAGTCTCTTCTGCTATTAAAAAAAAAAAAGATAAAAAAAAGACACCACCTGTCAGCAATTTTTTAAATGACACTTTACTTCTGCTTTAAAGTGTTTGGATCAGTTGTATTGCCTGGGAGCCATACAAACAGATAATGTCATAAGTTTAAGGCACAGGCTAACTCTTTGCTATAAGTTACATATTGGTATGTCACATACTGATATGTTTTAAGACAACACGGTCTCGGAGGTTGGACAAGTGGACTCCACGTGTTCTCCTCTCATTTTTCCTCTCTCTCTTTGTATTCTCTACAGCAGGTTTTGCCTTCCTTTTTCCCTTTCTTCTCTTTATTTAATTATTCAGAAGATGAAATATATATGCAGGCACAGTCCATGACTGTACGACGATTGAGGTACACAAATTTTCTGCTCATTTTAATACCTTGTGCACATAAGCTTAGTGAATTAATTGCATAAAAAGGTAGACACCTATACATTGCCTAGTTTAAGCATTGTGTACGATTGCTGCAGATGCTATTAAAGGAGAACTATGGGGTTAAGGCTTTTCCCCATAGTTCTCCTTAGGGTAACGGGAGGACACAAACTAGCGTCCCCCCGTCAGCCTAAGCTCAGTATACCGCGAGCTACAGCTCGCGGTATACTGAGACGCCGCAGCTGAAGCGGATCCCGACAATTATGTCTGGATCCACCCAGCTGCGTGAGTGACAGCTGGCTCTGCCTATCTAGAGGCAGAGCCAGCTGTACCCGCCCCCTCCCCCGTCCGTTCCACCAGTCAGCGCCGGCGGATCGGAGCGGGGAGGGGGGAATCCAGCCCCTCCCCTGTCACGGCAGAGAGCCGTGACAGGATCGTGAAGTGAGCAAACGCCGGTATGTGTTCGCTCACTTCCCGATCTACTGAGCCGACCTGTGACAGTGTCATTGTCACAGGTCGGCTAGAACTATGAGGTGAGTGGAAAGCACTCACCTCATAGTTCTCCTTTACGTCTGTGCATATAAGATAGTTATGTACATTGCTGTCTGTGAGAACTAAAAATCCCAAATATAACTGCACATTGGTCTGGAAAATGAACCACTTGTCAGTATATCTTAAGAGGAAGTGAACTCTGTAAGCTGTGGCCAAAAAGGCAGGCAAAGTACTAGTCACTAGTATTGCCTGTGGTCTCCCTGCAGCTGATCTTTTCCCCATTACTACCTTACCATGTCTTGTTCTGCTCTGTGTCTCTAAGGCAGCTATCTTGGTATAGTCAGGGCTTTGCTACCTCATATCAGGGCCTCCAGCAAGAAGAACAGTGTGCCGCAAAGCAGTGACTCTAATAAATCTCACTGCAAATCTTCTGAGACTAGCATTCGATCTCACACTGCAGATATACTGCTATGAGGATGTAGGCACAGGAGTGCCAAGACACCCTTATATACCAAGAGGTGCACTGCTATTTTCCAGGAGTAATTTAAGACAAAAATTATGCTTTTTGGACTACTGCTTAGGTACAGTTAATATTTCTACATTTTCTCTATATCATAGCATAGCAAATCTTCACTTTTTTGAGTTCAAGTCCACATTACAGGAACTTGTTGAGCACAATCTAGGCTAAGCTCCTTGTCAGACTGGCTTCTGTAGGGTAACTCAGATGAACAACAGACACAAATGGGATGGCAGAATCTAATGCTAAAAGATACATTCATCTAAATCTGACATTCAGCTCAACACATACTTTTGCCCAGGACATCCTGAAGCCTTTGGAGGGTGTCACAACTGCCAAGCAGTCATTTTTGACATCTTAACTTAAAAAGCAGCTTAGTTCAGAGAAAAAGGAATTCTAACAGTAAAGCAGCGTGTATGTTTATGGTACACTTGGCCAGCACTTAAAACCAAATACATTTCCAAAGCCAAATCCTTAACAGTATGCCTTTGAAATGAAGTCAGTTGGTGACTATGTTTATAATCAGCAGTTTAACATTAGAGCTTGATGATTTCAACATTAGAAACATGTCACAGTTTCATGAATCAGCTGTCAAATATAGCCAAGCCTTTGGACTGATTTCCTCCTGTTTAGTCAAAGCACAAGTCTCATAAAGTGTATCTAAAATGAAAGCATATAAATATTTCATGTCACTGCCAAAAATCAGTGAAAGAAACATAGCAACCTTGCTCTGCTGCCTCCAGGTCTTTCAGAATTGGTGATATGTTCTCATTCCAGTAATCTGTCTCCCATTCCGTCTCGGATTCATTACCTGTAGCTTCAGCTGCTGGGGAGTCAATGGAAACAGAAAGTAAGTTAGGAAAACAAAAAATGCGTAACTAATTTAAGCATATAAAATATTGTGATACAGTATGTTTGCTGTGTATATGTGCCTTAGGCCTCGCTCACACCAGATACAGTGCGTTCCGGCCCGATTCTGGCCAGAACGCACTGCATCGCGGCCGGCTCACTATGTTGTGGAGCAGGAGGGGGCGTGGCGGTCCATTGAAGTAAATGGCACCGTAGCCACGCCCTCCGGCCGCGATGTGATCGGCTGCACGGGAACGCAAGGCACATTATGCCTGCGGTCCGGTCCAAACAAAATGCTGCAAGCACTATTTTGTTCGGACTGGACCACAGGCATAATGTGCCTTGCGTTCCCGAACAAAATGCTGCAAGCACTATTTTGTTTCGGACCGGACCGCAGGCATAATGTGTCTTGCGTTCCCAAACAAAATGCTGCAAGCACTATTTTGTTCAGACCAGACTGGACCGCAGGCATAATGTGCCTTGCATTCCAGTGCGGCCGTGCCATTCACTTCAATGGACCACCACGCCCCCTCCTGCCCCACAACATAGTGAGCCTGACGCAATGCGATGCAGTGTGTTCTGGCCAGGATCGGGCCGGAACGCACTGGGTCTAGTGTAACTGAGGCCTTAAAGTCACTATAGTGGTGCATTTTATCAGTTACATGGAAGCTGCATGACACCAAACACAGAATGCACCATGGATTTGTCCTAACCTATTTTCTGTGCATTCTGAATACTAAAAATGATACAAGCCCCTCTGAAGGTGTGGTACACTAGAAACCTCCAATGTTGCTATAGCAGTTGCCTCCCACTGAAATGATCCAAAGACATCAGTTGTCACGTTTTTCCATACATGTACAAACCCAATGTGTGGAAAGGCTAGGGCCTAGGACAAAAATCATAGGGAGCAGCATGATGCCCTTTGTGTTTTCATCTCTTCATATTTCTTTGCTAAGCTTTCAAGAGAAAGGACCTTTCACTCCTTTGTAGAACATACTTGATTTTGAGTATGTGCAGATTCTGCCCTGCTTCCTCTGATGGTGTACAGCTGAAACACAGATCTTATCCATCCATGAGGCTTGGGCAATACTGAACTTTTTAACCTCCCCACTGACTTCTCAGAGCTTCACCTCATTTAGTGAAACACTGTACATACCTACTTGCAATTGAAACCGACAGTTAGGGCCACACCAAGTTCGGAGCAGATGCAGAGCAGTTACAGAACACATCAAAAATGCATCCAATGTATTCCAATGGTATTTTGGGCTCTAGTTCACCGCACAGCATTCAGTTCCAGAGCATGTGGAAAAACTGCAGCATGCCCTATTTCTTCTGCTCTGGAATGCATCAAAAACGCATGCAAATGACCTGGAACGCACTGAAAGCCCATTTTAGGCTAATAAACGGCCCGGAACGCGGCAAAAAAACACTGCACTGCATGTGCAGAAACTCATGCAGATCTCGTCCGGATTTGGTGTGAACAAGCCCTCAAGCAATAGCACCTGGTTAAGAGTGCAGTGTCTTCTTTTAAAGTATCACCTTCCTATGACCTCTAGGGGACTTTGTCACTTTACCCATGCAGAGCAAGGTCACAGTGTCTATGCAAAGGGCATCCCCTGACTCCCTTATACTTATCTTACCTGCACTAATCACAGTTCATTACTTCTAAGCAGCTTGTAAGAATATCTGCCACTTTTTATTATTATGGGAAAGCATGTGACCTGCTCCCCAGTCCCAGCAGCCATTCACTAAGCCTGAGCAATGTCACATGACAGAAGAAGTTAAATCACTGCTCCCCCAGGTCACTCACCAACACAGCCAGTGCCAGCTGCAGAGGAGCAAGGAGCTCAAAAGAGCACACTGGTAAGGTAAGTGCAGGGTATGGAATAAACAAAATTAAACAGCTTCACAAAAACAGTTTTGCACAACCTAGACTCCTGTCCTCCCATGGGCCATCAGGTACATAAAACAAAAGCCTGCACACAGCCTCAAGTCCTTGTTTATATGTATTTCGAAGCGAGCAAACTGCTGAGGACAATCATTATGGTGTGTTCCTGCCTATAAGAGCCCTTAGAGGTATGACTAAGGCATGACTAAGGCCACTTTGTAGGCAGAGACGCGTCAGCATTATGGTCTAAAGCTGTTTGTTTGCTTTGAAATAAATATCAAGTGTCACTTTGACCTGCATGGGCAAGATGACTGTGTCTCTTTAATAGATTGCAGAGTCCAGAAAAGCCTTATGGGCTTCAATTTTTGGTGATTTAGTTCAGAACATGTCCTATTTCCCTTCCATTGCTCTCGTGGAAACGCTTAAAAAGGGACACTGTCACTTTGATCATTCAGGCAAAGGGATAATATATTTGCAAAACCCACCCCCGACCACTTTACATTCACCTCTCCAGTGCTTTACCATCATGACTTTGTCCATTACAGCAGCCTTAAAATTACCAGTGGTCAGAGTTCATGGAAAATGGTGACGTGACCCCCTCCAACACTTAAACAGTGCTTGGGCCAATCGATCAGCCCCAATGCCCAAGCACAATAACATGCGAGAAGTTCACATTCTCCCCTATACCTGGAAGCACAGGGTATTTTGCAGTGGTGGCACAGACAAAAGGAGAGGCAAGAGAGCACTTAAGAGTAGAAAGTAGTCGGAAAGGTGGAATTTACACAGTCACTGTGTCCTGAATGAAAATACATGCACTTTTCAATCTCAAATAACAACTCTTGTTATAGAAATGTCACCATTTGCTGATAACTTTATTTTTAAAGTGCTGAAAATTGCAAGATTGGAGGAAAAAAACAGCCAAGCTAGAAGAAAAATGTAAAACAAGATAAAGCCTATCTTGAGCAAAGCTTCCTCTCCAGGTATTCTCTGTTGAAAATCATGGGTTATATCTGGATTCAATACTGGTGTATATACTGGAATTTCTATCTCATTTAAATTTATGCAAAGTAGTGTGGAGTTATATAGTTTTTCCTGAGTGTTTATAACATAGCCGTTATATGTTCACATCCTAGTCATAAACATATATGATTTTTATAGCCTGCTTTTGCACTAACTCCAAACTAAGTTGCATAAATTCAGATGAAACAAAGCCACAGACTTTAACCGTTAGCTAGCTTATAAAGGGGACAAGATTCCCCGAAATGCGTCCCCAGCTATGGTAACATTGTGTGGACAGATGCGCTTGAGCTGTCAGACGGATCGATTTCTAGGGGAAAACAGAAGAAACATTTTGTAAACATGTCCAGGTCCCTCAATCACTGGCTCCACTCCAGCTATGGTACACCCCAGCTAGTCCACTAGAGACAGGATTTGCAGCATACTCTGCGCATTTCTGTTGCCACACAAAGATCTACACATGTGAGTGCAACTGTTTTAAATTGATATTTCTTAATAAATGGAACTACTACACTATGCCAATGCACTCTTCTATACTTTTTTTTGTTTGTTTGCCCTTTCAGATGGGCGTTGGCGCCCTCAGTTCTGATCTGAAGGGGATCTGTGCACAGATCCACTGCTGATCAGAACAGATGTCACCGTCGTGACATCCTTGTCTGTCCACTTTTTTCCTCCGTCTTGCTATGGAAGAAAAGATGAAATTACCAGCCTCATGTTTGGGGAGGCATTGGGTAATAGTGACCACAATGCGATTACTTTTATTATTGAACACAGAAAAGGGAAGTGTACTGGAAGGACCAGAACCCTAAACTTCAGAAGGGCCAACTTTGATAAACTGCGCAACCTAGTGGGGGAAATAAAATGGGGAAAATTATTTCACAACCTAAACACAGACCAGATGTGGGATTACTATGAGGAATCAGATATAAATGGACATGTGTCGGTTTACATCAGATTACCCCCAACCTGGCACAGTCAGGTCTGTCAAAACGGAACCCTGATACATTTGTTTTCCTGAACCTGGCCGGAGCCGGGGGTAACCGCATGTAAACGGACAGACGTCCATTTAGATCTGGCTGCCTATAGACTAGGATCGGGCTTCCAATCAGATCCGCCCGTCAGGTTTTTTTAGGTGGACCTGATCGGATGCCCAAATGAAAGGAGGTCTAAATCAGATCTTGGCAGCGTGGCCCACTCTAGCAGCAGATGAACTATGGGTCCCAGCATATCTGGTAGGAAATGCTGCAACTCATCATTCCTTCACAACTTGTGGCTCCACTATGGCTGCTATGACATGTTATACAAACTAATATACAAGCAGGCCCACCATCCTGTTTTAAAGCAAAGCTTTCATTAATATCTGGTTAGTTTTCAAATATATCAAGAATGATTGCAAACATCTCTGCTTTTGTTTGAGCAAGTTATCGCTCTTTTTTTTTTTGCCGTTTCTCCTTTCTAACCACGTGAATAATCTTGAGACGAGTGGTTTTGCATCTATCACTTTGGGTTTCAGATAATGAAAAGAAAACTTGAAAAAGAAAAAAAAAATAACAAATGAGAACTGAAGATTGTGAGTTGCTGCGGTCTTCGTGGTGTACTTACAACACACATAACTCCCTCGACTGGTCACAAAAAACACTACCCAGTCTTTGCTGATTGGCTACTGTTTTTAGCAGCAGGGTTCAGGAGCCTTAGCAACACTGAAGCAAGTTAAAATCACTCCCACATTCTGTTCGTCTGCTCAAAGTACTTAGTGTGTGTGTGTGTGTGTGTGTGTGTACACGCGCACATATATATA